AAACTACTATAGAATCTTTGCGACATTTTTTTACCCAATTGGGTTTTATATTGCAAAGAATGAATGTATGATTTTTCTAGCATTTTTGATCTACTAGGTAGAGCGAAAAGTAATGTAAACTTTAATTTTTTCAAATCAATTGATTAATTTTAAACTTTGAATTTTTTGAATTTCTAACATTTCTTTTGGAATAACAAGAATTTTTTTCAAGAAATGATGTAGAGTTCTCATCGCTTTTGATTCAACCCTAGAATGTGCCCACATTTGTCTCTCTCCCCCCCCTCTCCTTCCTTTTTTCAAATCCATGAATGTGTTACCAAGAGGGTGTGATAGCCAAAACAAGGCCCCAACCCGAACAAGGGGAGAATTTCCTATTTCCGAAAGCGAATGGCTCGTGTCGGCATGAATTGCCACGGGGTAGGCGAACCAAGGTCGTTCCTTGTTCGCCACTGACATGGAAACAAAGCACAACATTTTGTAATGGTCTTGGCTTGGTAATTTCTTCAGTGTAACACAAGGGGCGTCCAATGTCTCAGTGGCTAACCGGGCACTTTTGACATTGTTGGTGTCAATTTATACCTCTCATGACGGTTTTTCTGCATAATCTTTATGGTAAAAAATTTATGAAAAATCTGGTGCATTTGAACTGCTTGCAAGACTTGTGTGGATATTTTTTGGGTTTATCAGTAAACAAAATTCGACTGAAGCTAACTCTCGCATATTTTCAATATAGCACCTGATTGCATCCCATTGGTTATTAATGCTGGAAAAGTGCATTTATTCATCTAATCCGAATTTGATAGTAAAGCTCAAAGTCGCTATAGAAGAATAAAGTGCAAATCTCCGGCATATAATCAAATCAAACCAATTTTTCTACTCATACTTTCATAAGAATTGAGGCCTAGTCGCCATTTTTTGTTACTTGCACTTTGTTTTGACTTTTTTTTGTGTTCTTTGGGCTAAAAACAACAACCATTGTTCATTTCATGCCACTTTAGCAATAAAGAATGTACTTTTAAACTTTATTCTCGTACGTGAACTTCTCATATGAACTGGTAGAGCTTCCTCTATACAATTTAAACTCATAATTATGAGAGATATTGTGGAAATGTAACCAGTTTATAGGTATGATTTGTGATGTGCAACGACCACTAATCGCCCCACAAAAATCGCCTCCCCCACAATTTTGCATTTTTTCTGCAAAAATCTGATTGAGATCGAAAAGATCTTATCGGCACATTACGGTGCCCTTTTATTTCTCGGACACCTCTACTCTCTGACTTTTGACTTTTAAATGTATGCGCATCTCATAACCATTCAATGTCGTTAGACACTCGTTTTTTTCTACTTCGATTCAGTTGCTGTATGATGATTCATGTATTCTGTTCCTCACACTTTTCAACCCTGTTCTTCCAAGCAATCATTCACGGCAAGAAATTTTCAGGCGCATCTAACCTGATTACTTATTTTCAAGATTGTTGCATGTACTAGGCAGTGGCGTACCCAGGATTTCGGCTCGGGGGGGGGGGGGCGCGACAAAAATTTTTTTCTAAAGAAGGTGCATGGGCGTTAGCCACGCACTCCGAAAATTTTTTTGGGGTGCTTCTCAAAGCTTTTGCGGGTCCCCGACCCCTAAAATCTAGAAAAAGGGGGCGTGGCGTCAGCCACGCCCCCGAAAAAAATTTTTTTACAAAGCTAATTTGAATTTTTAAAAATTTTTAAAAATCATTTTAATTATTTACAAAAATAAACAAGTCACTTGCACATTTTTATAACCCACATAGGTAACTTTCAAAAATTTCGCGACCCATTCTCGGGGGGGGGGGGCGCGCGCCCCCCCCCCCCCCGCCCCCCCCCCCTCGGTACGCCACTGGTACTAGGGTAAAACTTGTTGTACTCTAGCATTACTGGTTTATTAAACAAGTGGGATGAGTTCAGGGCCATAGGGCGGAGTTTGCAACAATGTTACCCCCTTTTTTCTAGGTGCAAGTTCCATACAACTTCCTTTCCTTCCTCCACTACAGTCTCCAAAAAATCTTTCTCAATTTTTTGATGATCTCAATTTTTTCCTTTGCCTATGATTAAAGTTTATGCCAGTACGACTTAAGAGCAATAAACTTTGTTCAACAAAAGCTTCCAGTACTTTTCATTTTAGCTCAGTCAGCGACCGCATAACTTTTGGCTTCGATTTCAAACTTCAACGTATTTGAAACTTCCTCTTCGTATATAAAAACGCCTGTGTTAGAATTTCATATGCGGCTCACCCATTCTAATAGCTGTTTTCACTACATTTGATCGGATTCTGATCAACTACATACGAAGCAAAGCTGCTGAAAGATTACATTACGTATGCAGATAATGCTCAGAGGAGCTCTTTCAGAGTAGAACTCCCAAAATTCACTCTTACAACATGAATCCTCTAATGTTCGAATACTAAGATTTCACACCCAAAAAATAAACTTCGAATTTTGTAAAGATTATGCAGTTATGGAATAGACCAATGAATGAGCTTAGAGTATGATTGGATGAGATAAGTTTTTTGATGTATTCATACTCTACTTTCTCAAAAAATCGGTGCATCTGGATATTCTTAAAGCTCCCCGTGTTTGCAGTACGAATTACTATTTCACAGAAAAGTCAGCAGAGATTCGAATACATTCAATTCAATTTTTCTTTCTCTTTATGGCAACGGTTGTACCATTAGTGAGCTTTATAAGCACATTTATGCGGTGAGTTTGCTTCGTCGTTTCTTTTAATCAACTCTGCTCACTTTTTTAACTATCATTATTTCTCGTTGTTAGATGTGAAGAAGTTATGAACCCATTCTAACTAATAGTTAGAGCAAGTTTGGGCTGTGGAGCTCTGGTTATTCATGGATTCAAAATTACTATTTTGTAATAATTTTTTGTGTGAAAATCATGTCTACAACGAAACGATAAAATATCGTAATAGGTCTTTTTTATCTCTGAAAAATCTCACCCAATGACTCATATAAAATTAAGCAACAGGGAGAACAGGAGATTAGAAAGGAAGAAGAAAAGAAATGAAGTAGTGTTTGTTCCAGCTCATCTTGAGGTATTCTGGCAACAACACAAAAATTTCGAAATGGCAGAAAACAGCAAAAATTCACTCGAAAATTTTTTTTGAGTTTTCCAGTAGACAGAGGAAGCGCACAACCGTTTATACATTCAAATATTTGAATTTGATTTACAGATGCCAATTAGATTTACTAACAAAACGCCATAAGAAAACGCACGGTGAAATTGCAACTGTATGGCTTCACAAAAAACCGTCAGCCTTTGCTCGAAACGGCTATCCATTCAGGACCGTACAAAAACGAAATCGTGTCTGTCATGGTGAATATGCGCGCTACGGTCTAGTAAGCTTGCCTCGTTTAACAGCGCAGAAGTGCAAAGCCACACGCCTCAGTGGCATCGATACAGGGTTTGAGGAGAACTGGTTATCCTTAACGACGACCACATCAAGCAGTAGCTCCGGAAATTGTCCCTGATAGCTGAACCCTTTCAAAAAATTCCCATTATTTCGCGAAAATTCGTTAAATGTCCATTCAGAGCAGGCTGTAAAGATTTCTTTGATTGTTAATGAGTTTGAGTGCTTTTATTTCAATTTCTCTGCCAATAACGTTCCAAATCAATTCGGGTCAGATCATCTAGGATACTTTTTCCTCCGCCCCTTTCATGGAGTAGAAAATCGTCAGCATTCATGTTATGGCGTATACGAAATGAAAAATTCATTCCATCGTGTCCTAACTACGACGACGCCATTATCGAAATTGATGTGAAGTTTCCGGGTCAGATTGCAACAACAGAAATTGAGCGCAATTCTTCGTTCCATTTCTCTGACGTCGAAAATTTACTTGGTTATTTTCGAAGCTGCACAGCATGGGTGTATTTTTGCTTCTCAACTGCAATAATGATTCATGATTATTGTACAAGAAACGCAGTACTGATGTCCAAACTGAAAACTTTTTTGACAAGAAATGAAACCGTAAAAATAAAAGTCGTTCAACTTTTTTGTCTATAACTTACTTAATTTTCAGTTTTTGTGAAGAAATTAATTTTTCTTTTCAATCAACAACATCATCCTCTTAAACATTATTAATCCACTCTAGCTGTTTTTTTAAATTGCACTTGTATTAGCCTTTCGATCTTCAAACATTTCCATTCATTTGCTCATTAATTCATCACAATCTAAACAAATTCTTCGCTTTACTTTTTATCACTTCTTATCTTCTTCTTCTATCTATTTGTACGTGTGTACATTAAGTCATTATTTATACATTGTTTATTTATCTTTTTATAAATACAGTCCAGTCTCCTAAATTGTGTGATTGCACACTATCCTCTTTGTTTTAATGATCAAACTACAGACGTGAAATATAGCTGATGAATGATTTCTCGCATCTTTTTAGTACTTAGCAGTGAGGGTCCCAGAATTTTGTTGAAATTGGGGTCATCCAAATTCTCTCAAATAGGGGGGGGGGGGGGTAGGAGAGGGGATTGGAGGGGGTGGCCATAGCTATGAATTTGAAAATTTGAACAATTTGCAAAGTTTTCGCATGTGTACATTGAGAGTTGTCCGCTTTTTTAGGTAGGGGCAAAATTTTATTCGAAATTTTATTTTAATAGCTGTTCGACTCTTGTGAAACGTACATTTTTACTTTTATTATTTTTTACATACAAGTAAAAGCTAGATACTGCACAAGTTCATAGCTCATGTAGACCCTTTATCAAAAATTCGTGTCCCTCCCCCCTCCATCGGGCCATTATTTGTGGGAGGAATGAAGTATGAACAATGTCCAGAAAGCGTTAATTTACGTCTGCGGTCAACGAAGTGTGCAATTACACGTGTATCAGATAACGCATGACTTCCTACACATTTTCTTTTTTTATTTCTTCTTCCATTCAGTTATCCAGTCTTATCTCGTTCCGACATATGCCATATATTCTACAAGATCGTCAATCAAAATTCTCTTTTGTAGATATCGGCCTCGAATGCTAATATGCAGGCATTATGGCCATATCATACGTATCGACCAGTTACATGGGATAGGTATTATGTTAACGAATATCAAGAGAGTGAGTATTTTTTGTTAATTTTTAGATTTTTTTTGAATTTTGCGGTTTCAGAGCAACCGTCGGTGAGCAGTGGAGTGGCGGCCGGAGTCACGATAGGCATATTTTTTCTTGTTTTTCTATTCACATTTGGTTGTCGAATCTATAGCCAATACAGTGATCGATCAGAAGCTCAGAATACACGAAGTCAAGGTAGGTCAAACCTATATTTGGGGCCTAGTTCATTTATTTGATAGACTTTTTTTTAAGCTGCGAGGCGCACTTGAGATACGGTACTTGCAAAATTCTTCCTTTTCAGAATCAGTCTTGAGCGAATCTTTAGCAGAAGATATGTGGATATGTGGTGTTCCTCATGGACCACCACCTCCTTACGAAGTAGCCATTCGTATGCCATCTTCTCCCCCCGATCCTAGCCCTGTCTAAGGTCAGTGCCAATTCCTCATCTAAAAATATCCAAATTTTCAACCCTAGTATTTTTCAGATAGCATTTCGATGCTGGTTGACAGCAAATGCGCTCAAGGAATATAACGTGTAACAATAAGACGGTTCCCTCTTGAAAAACATATTACCCATAGTACTTTCTCTTACAAAACGGAGCAAAATATGGTTCTCAGGTCTTTGAACTACGAGCACGCACACTTTGTTTTGGTAAATAGAGTGCCTTTTTAAATATGTAAATACGGTATAAATAGCAGGTCAAACTCTCGTTTTTGACCCTAACTCTACTCTCTGCCTTTATGCACATTGTTGTGATTTGTAACGAATTACAGGTTGACACTTCATATTATTGTTTACAAATTGAGACATCATTGATCTCGTCTATGTAATTACCCGGACTTTGGAATAAAGAGTTTATACTGTTTTCTTTCTCACATCGCAGAGTAGGAAATTATGGGACCAATAATTTAAGAAAATTTGCGTCGTATCATCTAGAACTTGGGCTCAGCTACTTAGTTTGGAAGTTCAGCCTTTGAAAGTAGTTTTGGAAAGGGTTTGGTACCAAAGTGAGCACCTTTGCTACATGGCGTAGATAAAAAACTAAGAAGAAGTGAAGATTTGAAGATTTTAATATTTCCAAGGAAAGCAACTCAAAATAAGGGGGGGGGGGAAATGTGACTCGAGGATGCTTAGCGTTGATGCAAATAACAACAAATAAAAAGTCAATAGTGCGAATGATGAAAATTGCTCAGTTATTTACTAAGTCAGAGCATGACTTCATAGTTCATAAAATTCCAAGCATGAAGCGATTAATATTTTATTAGCTGCACACCAAAGTCTACTCGATTCCGTATTTGATTAAGTACTCTTTGACTCAACTGGATTGGCGGCTGAACGGGGCTTCGTGACTAGTCAAGTGTAGAGAATGATCGGAGAGCACGCTCGCGAGAGAAACGCAGACTGCGTCATGGGCGCGAGCGACCTTAATTAGATTACAAAGCCCCGCTTTCCAGCCGCCAATCCAGTTGTACCAAAGGTTACACTATACAAAAAACAAATATCACCGTCTGTAGACGTTTGAATGGGCTCTATGAAGCCTTGAATTGTCAATATGAATTTGAATCCAGCCTGTAATGTTTTAGGGTCGTAGAAGCAGATGGATTTTGAGCTGTTCTTTTTCTTACTTCATAAGTTCCGTCCAGTCATAGATGTTTTGTGTTTTCATTAATCCGTAACAAGCATCTTCTTCGTAGAATTTTCTTCTTCATTATCCTATGCAATATAATGTTCACTTGCTTTTCTCAAACTTTACAGTTTTTAATTCTAAGGCATTACAAATAATAAAACCTTATTGTTAGATTCAATTGGCTTGGCGGCTGGAAGGCGGGACTTTGCAACTTAATAAAGGCCGCTCGCGATGGCGACGCAGTCTGCGTCTCTCCCGCTCGCGTGCTCTCTGACCATTATCTAGCCTTACAGGTCAGCCCTCCCCCTTCCAGCCGTAAAGCCAGTTGAGTCAAAGTGTACACCAAAGATGAATATCAGAGATGTTCAAGTCTTTTACGGAAGTATGTTTTAGGTGTCATCGTCATTCGCTAAACTTTCTCAGTTAGAAAAGCACTTTTGATACTGAAGAATACAGCATGAGTCCGCGAAGTCAAGCACTTTCGCGGTTCAATCTACCAGCCCTAAAATTCCCTCCGCTCAAGGTTGGTATTGGAAGCATGCAGGCTCTCAAAAGCAGCGTCCCGGCAGATTTCCCACTTCGTCTAGTTTACATATTGAGGGGGTTTTCAAGTACATAGATCCCGAGTTCCAACTTTCGGGTGAAAACGTGGATATCAGGGAGTACAAGCCACTTTTCAAAAGGAAGCTCGGAGAGAATCAATAAAAGTGGAAAGGTCTTGGTGTAAAACACCTGCCACGTAATGTTTGCACGGTTTGTATGCAGAACGAGGAGCTGTTGTAGTGGTGCCGCTCTGAACAACTAAGTGGAGTTGTCGTATCAAAGGCAGTGCCCAAGCAAATCTGGGCGCATAGGTTTTTTGCCTGAAAACTGATGAGGGTTCCTAGCTATGTCACTGCCCACGGAAGGGCAAAAGATTCATTCACGGCTGAGAACCTTCTTGAAACACTCCGCGTCTGCGCCGTGACCGTAACTCGCTAGTGACTTAGGGTGGGTCTCAGCGCGAACGTAGTGTTAAAGTGAGCGAAGTCAGATTTAGGTTACGGTCACGGCGCAAGCGCGAGGTGTGGGGGGGGGGGGAGGGGGAGGGGATTTCTCCCGGGAGTGAATCAGTGAATCATGAATTATCAGCTCTGCCGCTTGGCCAGTGCCTTAGTTAGAACCCCTTTATCAATTTCCAGGCAAAAAACCCATGCGCCCGGATATGTCTCGACATTGACTTTAAGATAGCCGTGTTCCGATACGGGTGGAATTTCGATTGCTTAATCGAGGACTCGCAGTTGCGGCTATATGAGAGCACTCACCACTTGCACACTGTGCTATTCTTTAAGAAGTCGTTAGTAAACAGCGTCGTTGGGCTAATGTGAAAAGCTATATAGCTGACAAGGGAATGGCCAGGATGCGAGGGTGTCGCTTTATATAGCCCGATCTGAAGATGAGCTAAATAGGCAATAATGTGCCTGATTTCGCAGCTTGTATATATAATTTTCTTGCAACAAAAGTGTTCATAACAAAACAGATTTAAGGTCAGTTTCTATGCTTATCCAGTAAAGTGCAGCCTGCTTGGATTGGCCCCTTCAATTTCTGATCATTCCTTACGAGCAGCAAGCGACTCTTATATTGAAACTCACTCTGACAAGGTATAATAATTTTACACAGCTATTCTTTTCAGACTTCTTGAGCAATACATGCTTCGGATAGCCATTGGCCCTTGGATGAAAACAAGGCTAGACAATGAAAGCTTGATCTTTCCTAATAACTAAAGAGTTGTATGTTTGGGAGAGAGACTGCCACTCTCATCTCCAGACTGGAAAGTTATGCAATCAAAAAAAAAGTAACGACAAAGGCCGCGTACCACCAGACTGGGAGGTACCTGGCTCTGATAGTGATGTGATAGTAGATCCCCTAACTAAGCAACAACAGAAGTTTGCAGCGCGGAAGGGGATCTACGAAGCCTACAAATAGCCCCTCAAGTGGCCTAAATCTTACGGTAGGCTCGGGCAAGTGCGAGATGCATGCAAGGCAGAGACGTAGAGTCGTTGCGGGACCCTGCGCTAACTGTGTGCGCTATACGCATTCTGGCCTTGCAAATCGATATTGCGGTGTGGGCGGCGTCCGGCCCTACCGTAAGATTCGAGCCACTTTCGGAGCAAATTTCAGGCTTGATAGACCCCTTCTTTCGCTCCGAACTTCAGTCATCGCCTAGGTAGGGGGTCTGCTTTACATCGCAGCAAAAACCCGGCACCCATCTTTTTGCCGGGAAGCTGCCTTTGAGGGTTGAGCCCTTCGCAGCGCATGCCAAGTACGCACATTGCATGATGATATGGGGCGTACGCTGCGTACGGCTTACTCGCTTACGCTGCTTATGCCGCGCAGTCTAGCTCAACCATGAGTGAGTTATGAGAAGAGGAAAGTCGATTGGAAAGAGTTTCGCCAAATACGGATGTTTCGCACATGCTATCGCCCGTGTGAGGACCATGTTCGCGTAAAAGGCCTCTTTTGGCGACATTTTTCTTCTATTCGAATGTATATTGTTCTGAAAATGATGTACTTTATCAAACTAAAATTCTACTCCAATGGACGACAATCATGTAGCATCCAGCATTTTTTGCGAAAAAATCACAAGTTATCACGTTGTGACTCTGTGTCAGCGTTGGAAGCTTGGTGTTGTTCAGTGTCGGGGACTCTTCTCTTCAGCAGTAGACGACGTGCTTTCTTTTCCGCAGCTCTTCTATGTATAACGTCTGAGGTGTATAGTAGGGGCACAGAACCAACTATATGAGGCATTGGGTGTATTCCAAGAACGTGGGGGCTGTGTTCCTTCTCAAAATACAAAGATGTGTCAGAAGTTAAGCCACTTTCTGAAAATAGTCGATATGCTCATGGAAGATTCGATGAGCACTTGCCTTTTGTGAATGTTTTCAAGTGATTTCGTAAAGCTGCACGTGGATGATGATGGTTTGACCAATGGTAGTAAGGACACGGCTAAAACTCAAGTTTTCAAGTAGTTTTCAGATACTGTAGAGCTATTCTTCTTTCCATATCTTCTGCTATAGCTTCGCCTACTTCCGACGGAAGCCGCACCATAGCGTTTGAGCTGGTTGATGCGGTGATTCCAAAGTGAAACTATTATTTGCGAGAAATACTTCAGTTATGTAACTAAGAGAAAAAAAACTATAAGAAGCACTACTGGATGCACACTGTACAGATTCGTAAAATTTGAACAAAACTGCTCTTTCGCTAATTGTACCCTAACTGCGAGACGGTCAGAGCGGCAAGTACAATTTCTCTCGAGATTCACTTTATTGACCAAATTTGTAATGTTGCTGTTGCTTAGTTGGAGGTCTACTCAATTATGAGATGCCTGAATCTCGGATATACGCCTTTAAGGAGATGTTTGTATAGTATGTGTCAATTACGTACTCCCTTTTGCGTAGGAAGTACGCATGCACAACGTGGGGGCCTTTTGTGTTGACCTGCGATCGATAAGGCCATTTCGAAAACCAAAGCCATACACGCGTGAAGCCCTGGCGCTCGATTGCGCTTACGGAAAAGGGAGCAGTTGATTGACACCGACTGTAAAGGAACGGTATACTTGGCTGTAGTTGTGCTAGATGGACATCAAATAGATGTGTTGGTGTATCATAAGATACAGATTTGTTGCAACTTTCAACTAAGCTATACAATTGATTGCATATTATTAACAAGTGTAGTCCCCTTGAAGGCAGCGCCCCACCAGACTGGGGATACCTGGCTCTGGTATTAATGTAATAGTAGACCCCCTAACTAAGCGATGACAGAAGTTTGCAGCGCGAAAGTGGTCTACGAAGTCCACAAATCGCCCTCAAGTGGCCCGAATCTTACGGTAGGCCCGAACGCCGCCCATAGATCAATTTTGAACTGCAAGGCCAGAGCACGCATAGCGCATACAGTCATGAGTGCATGGTCCCACAACGACTCTGCGTCTCAACCTTGCACGCATCTCGTACTCGCCCGAGCCTACCGTAGGTTCGGGCCACTCGGGGGGCGATTTATAGACTTCGTAGATCCCCTTTCGCGCTGCAAACTTCTGTCGTCGCTTAGTTAAAGGGTCTAGTATACATTTCAGGACCAGGTATCTCCAAATCTAATGGGACGCTGCCTTTAACTTATGCCCAAATCGAAACGTTAAGAGATCAAAAAGCCTCAAAAGCACAACGGTAATTCGAACATTGCCTCAGTTTACCAACAGCAACATTTAAACTCAGAAATTGAAGACCTCAACAAGTGAATAGCGCACTTTTTCTTCTAGTTTCGCAGATTCATAACACTGAAGTGCTTTTGACTAGCGCAGGGAGAAGAAGAACCGTACTCCTGTCTTTTAGATTAATGGTCATGCCTTACGCAAATTGGTCAGAATTCGCGCTTGGTCAGTTGCCAGTTATCAACCTACCTTCCGCATGCTGTTCAAGTCGTGCAGTGTTTCTATGTATGACATTGGTCGCTGCAAGATACATAGTGAATACCCCGGTGTAAGCGCATAGAATCGAACTGTAAACATGCACGCTAACCGAAATTTATACGTTTTCGGTATGAGGAATATTTTTGGTAAATTTGCTGAAGCACAGCTTCAATTGACTTCATCATCAGGGTTGATTCCAGGTTACTATAAAAGACTGCCTTCCAAACTGAAGGAGGTAGAGGTTTTTTCTCGTTAGTAGCAATATAGGTCGTTTTCATCATTGAGGAGCTGGTAATAATGAGACAAGGATCTAAAGCTTTTGCGATGCTACTGTAGAAATAGCAAAAATCCTGCGCAACGCACAGGATCCTGGTTGTTGTTCTTTGCATGTTAAACGTATCGTGAAGAAGAGAAGCATTATACTAACCCATTCGCAATCAGAAAAATGATGTTGGTTTGCAAACGCAGCAGCGACAGCGATCGGCCCTACTGCAGGGGCAACGGCTATGCGAACGGGTATATCAGGTGCACTCCTCCCTAGGAACCAAATATACCAAACTCTAACCTTGATATCGTCAAGTAAACTTACCTTCACTATCGTTGTCTCCATGTATCACGTCTAACCTACAACAAAATTTTTCAAAACTGTTTATATCGGTATTACTATCAAGACCGCCGTGTAATGAATTGCAAACATCACCACTATGCTTTTAACAAAAGAACACGCAAGAAAATTTTTAAAATCAAATTATGTCTTGTTTCTTCCGTTTTTTCACATAGATAATATAGTAGTATTGAATTGAAGCTGTAGGCAATTTCGCTGACCCGTTCAAGTTGTTATCTCAGCATTAAAAACAGTAACTATAAAATTTTTTCATGTTATTTGTGCTAGGCGTATGCATAAGTCGAGATAAATATGCAAAGTACAGCACTGCAGCTAACAGCTGACTTCAAACTTGTGAAACAAGGTCCCAGGAAGTCGCGGTATGAGTAGATGTTACTTCAATCCCAAGCTTACCTCGAAAGAAGAATGAACACAGAAACTCTGACGAAGGCTTTCATGTATAGTCAATCGTCTTCGTTGCCTCCCTTTATAGTGTTCGATTGGAAGTGGTTTCTTGATCCTGGTTAATTGTTGCTTGTTCTACACGGTTCATTGAATATCAATAGTTAGATAATTTTCTATATACAAGCATACAGCAGCATAATGCAATCTTATTCACAAAGTAGCATATGAGGCCATAACACTAGTTCGAGAATGATTGCAAATTTAAGCCTATGAAAGCAAATTCTTAAAAACTTTCCCGCCATGTTGTATTTCTAACAAGGACTTGTTGTTGAATATTGCCAACCGGTCTACACATAATCTTTCAGCGCAAATGATTATTTCAAGAAAACACAGAATTTCAGGTGTTCAATCATTCTTTCATTGGAACTTATGAGTTGGGTTGACGTGGCATATAAAGAACGTTCCGGAGAAGAATGCTATTTTTGAGTGGACGATATTGGCAGGTCATTGTCCTATGAAGACTTGAACGCAGCGTCCATCCAAAATTTTGCCCCCCATGTCTTTGTCTTTCAGGGGCCTTTTTTGTAGCCCTGATTAGATTATGAAGTTCAAATAGCCCAAAACCCCCAAAATCTCGATTTCTGAAGACACTGTCTTGACGGCGCGAGCGGCTCTCAATACATGGGTGGGCGGTGTGTGATAGGATTTGGGCCGTGTCTGATAGCACTTTAGCTGTTCCAACGCAGATGCCCCTCTCGTAGGGCCTACATTCAGAATTGACACTAATCGAAGGGGGTTACATTAACCTGAACATTGCCTCTAAGGCGAGTTTGAATGAGACGAGTTTGTAGCATAGAACCTAACGAGATTAACTTTTCCAACGATTTATTTCCTATTTTAATTGTTTTCGTCGGACTTTTCATAAGAGGCGTCTGAAAAGCTTTCAAAGCCAGAATAATGCAGAACTTCCCCCGGAAAACTGTCGAATTTACAACGATAAGTTCCCCACTGACGCTCCACCAAAAGTTGAGCTCATGACTCACTGGTGTTTTTAGCGTCTCTACAAGGAAGTCCTTGATCATGAAAGCTATCATCCTACTATAATAACGCGCTAAGAGTGTTTACGTTTTTTGTGTGTGTGTGTGTGTGTGTCTGAATGTCTGTCTGTCACGAAATTCGTAGAGCGTGTTCCAGCCAACGTCCTGGGCTCAAATTTTGCATAGCACTTGCTACTGGCACGAAAGTCCAACATGCAAAAGCACAAGCAGATTCGTTGAGAGGATCTCTTGAAAATTGCGCGTCAAACGGATCCACTTTGCATTTGGGCCGCAAAATTGGGTCAGTAATTCCACTTTTTGCAGAGTGGTGGGTGTTTACGGCAAGTAAATGTGCAAGCCATGAACTTAGGCCCAAATAAGTGACCAAAAGTCCATTACTTTACAAAAACGGCGCCAAAAAGTATTGCTTGCGTAAATGGTCAATTTGCCAAGGTTCTAGAAAAGCATATGAGAAGATTTTCGCACAGAGATGTAGCTGACAGTAACTATTGCCTTTATGGCGACTATCAAACCATGTCAAATACAAAAACCTGTTCAGATTTGCCTTTATCTTCCTGCGAAAACTTTTTTCCATGCGAAATCACCAATCTCACGTGAAAAAGCTTTCTAAATTAGTAGCTGTTTACATTTCATTCGTGGTAGTCGGCATAGCACGGTGAGTTTCAATGTCACTATTATGCGGGAATGGGTAAGGCAGGCGCTATACTCTTCGAGGAGTATAGCGTGGTGAAGGGCGATCGCCGCGATTTTTGTCGCCATATTGGCGATCGCCAGTCGTAGCGATCGCCAATATGGCGACAAAAATCGCCAGCACGTATTTGATGCATATCGATCGTCGCCATGCTATACTCCTCGAGAAGAATAGCGCCTGCCTAAGGCATACAGAAAGTAGGGGCCAGTGCGAGCCTCTGCGAAGCAGAGGTGACGCACTGGTAACTTATAATAACGGGCTAAGGATGTTTACGTTTGTGTGTGTGTGTGTGTGTGTGTGTGTGTGTGTGTGTGTGTGTGTGTGTGTGTGTGTGTGTGTGTGTGTGTGTGTGTGTGTGTGTGTGTGTGTGTGTGTGTGTGTGTGTGTGTGTGTGTGTGTGTGTGTGTGTGTGTGTGTGTGTGTGTGTGTGTGTGTGTGTGTGTGTGTGTGTGTGTGTGTGTGTGTGTGTGTGTGTGTGTGTGTGTGTGTGTCTGTCTGTCTGTCCGTTACGAAATTTGAGGAGCGTGTTCCAGCCAACTTCCAGAGCCCAAATCTTGCGTGGCGCATGCTAGCTGCATGAAAGTCCGCTATGCTGAAGCACGAGCGGATTCGTTGAGTGGATCCCCCAAAAATTGCGCTTCAAACGGGTCCACTTGGCTTCTGGCCAACAGAAATGGGCCTGTACCACCACTTTTTGCGAGGTTATGGATATGATTAGCAAGCTAATGTGTAAGCCAAGGACTTTAGCCCAAAAATGGAACTAAAGTTTATCACTTCACGAAAATGGCGCCGAAAATAATAAGTTGCGTAAATGTTCAATTCGCCAAGATTTTACCTGATCGTTTGAGATGATTTTTGCACAGAGATGTAGCCCACGGTGATCGTCGTCGTTATGGTGGATTATCAAACAACAAAAAGTCCAAAAACCGGCTCAAATTTGCATTTATTCTTTTCGGAAAGGTTTCATCCACCCAAAAATACCGATCTCACATAAAAAAGTTCTTGGAATGAGTAGTTGTTTACAAATCATTCGTGATAGCCTGCATACCGCGGTGAGTTTCAACATCATTCTTAGCGGGAGTGAATAAGGCATACAAAAAGTAGGGCCAGTGCGAGCCTCTGCGAAGCAGAGGTGACGCAGTGGTTCTAGTTATAAAACGAGATGCAAGGTGAACATTCGGAGTCGGTCGCCTCGCTCGGATCTCGTGCGCTCGCAAACGTACCATTTGATTCAACTGGCTTGGCATTGGCAAGGCGGGGCTTCGTGACCTAATTAAGGCTAGGTAATGGTCAGAGAGCACTCGCGTGAGAGAGACGCAGGTGCGTCGCGGGCGCGAGCGGCCTCAATTAGATCACAAAACCCCGCGCTAATGGTGCCAAGCCAGTTGAATCAAATGTCATCTTCTGCGGCATTTCTCCACGCTATTCAGTTTGAAACGCTGCTTAGGAGCGGGAAATGCAAAAAAATTCTTCCACGAGCGCGAAAGGTTCAAGTCAGGGCCCGCGAAGACCCAAGCCGCTAGATTTTTGACTCTCTTGAGACAGCCTATACATAAATCTGTCTAATGATTGCTTATCAATCATCGCAGATTGAAGTATTACGTTATCTCAAAAGTAAACATCTTTTCAAATAATTCAGGCTGTTTTTGTTTTTCCAGTAAATTTAGGGTATCATTCGATAGGGCAGATCAAGCTCTACAAAATATCTACCAAGGATCCGCCTAAGTCGCATTCCATGGAAAGTTTGAAGCCAAAATCGAAAAAAATTTTGTCACCTGAAAATCGGATTTCTGCGATAAAGAATCCTACAGACCTCCAACTTGGTTATTATACATAAGGCACATAGTAGTACTCAAATAAGCCTTTACTGGATTTTTTTCGAGCTTAGAAAGCAAGAAAAAAAAAGATAGTCTGAAAATAACAAACTCCGCCCCCAGCCCCTTTCATATATGTCGTCGTATACTACAAGCCTTACTAAGTACAATTTAAAAACCTTAGCCTTGTATGTGCTCTCATATTCGAGAAATTTCAAGTTTTACATTTGAAAAAAAAGGAAAAAATGGCATTTTGGCATTTGCGGACCATCTTTTTTCTCAATTTTGAACCCCGAGAAAAGTCCACCAATTACATTTTTGAGTGCTACTATGTGTCTACTATAAAGAGACCAAGTTAGAAGTCGTAGGAATTTCTCTGGAAGGGAGATCCGATTTTTAGGGTAGCAAAAAAATCTTGATTTTTGGTCCCAAATTCTACCTGGATTACGGCTTAGGTGGATCTTTGGTGGTCTTTTTGTAGGGCTTGCTTCGCTCTATCGAATGGTACCTTAAGTCTATTAGGAGAACAAGAACAGCTCAATTTGAGAATGGAATTTACTTTTGGGAAAACCTAATAATAGTCAAATTATTGAAACGTCGGCCATAGATTTGAGTTATCTCTTTCTTCAGAGGGAAAGCAGTGTGTTAAAGGCAGCGGACAGGCAAAATGGACCCCTGTCAGATTTTGGTTGTTTCGGGTAGTGGACCCCCCAAGTACACCGTAGCCCCAACCCCACATTCCAATTCATGCGCTAAGTCCTGAAAAAAGCGCTTCAAAACTCCACCAGCCCCGCCCACTTGCATTGAGTGGGCGTTATTGGTGGAAGTTTGAAGCGCTTTTTTCAGGACTTAGCGCATCAATTGGAAGTTGGGGTTGGGGCTACGGTGTACTTGGGGGGTCCACTACCCGAAACTACCAAAATCTGACAGGGGCCCATTTTGCCTGTCCACTGCCTTTAAGGTGGAACCTATTTTTATACTAGCAACCTAACATAGCACTCAGTTTGAAGTACGTGGCCAAAATAGACTTTAGTTAGCCGACATTTGATCGCTGGTCTATGCATATCTAGATTTCCGAATAGACAATTTTAATCGCTGGTCAATGTATGTCTGTTTTTGTTCTGAAGATCGCACAACAGCACTCTTACTATGGTTTTGTATCAGTTCTACTTTAATTGTTGCTTGAACGACGAAGATACTTTATGCTGTAACATTAGATTTTATGTAAGCTACGGAAAACTTCGATTCAGCAGCATTTGCAAAGAAAGTTGAGTTTCATTTTGCAGTCACTTCCAGCTTAAACTATGAAGAAATTTGAGGTCTATGTTTGCAATCAGCTCGAATGCTAATCTACTTTGATAACACGTAGACGTGACACGTTTATGCTAAAATGCATGGAGAAAATGTAAAGCCTAATTATCGACCTCTGACACTTTTTTCCTTATTCTAGGAGTTCTTCAAATGGTCTTTGTTTGTGGAAGAAAGTATGC